ATCCTATGAATTCCACAGTCACTATCCCAAAGTGTGAGAAGTTTCAAGAATCTGTTGAAAATAGGAACATGGTAACAACCACCTAAATATGCTTGTGCATGGGTAATATTGTGTTTACCTCAGAGATGAATTATTTCCCCTAAAACTCACATATACTTCAGACTGTGAGCTTCTTTGAAAATAGGGTCATTACCAATGAAGATATGGAGAAAGTTATACACTCTTGGTGGGGATATATGAAAAACATATATGGCATGTTATGAAAAACAATATGGCAATTCCTCAAAAAAAAATGACTAAGAATAGAACTACCATGCAGCAATCCCCTAACTGGGTATATACCCCAAGGAAATAAAATTAGCATGTATGAGAGATATCTGCACTCCCATGTTTATTGCAGCTGTTTATAGTAGCCAGATATAGAATCAGCCTAAATGTTCACCAGCATATGGTTGCATAGGGAAAAAGTGATAAATATGCAACAAAATACTATTCAGCCATAAAAATCATAAATCCTGTCCTTTGCCAGGACATGGATGAACCTGGAGAATATTATGTTAAGGGAACTAAGGTAACAAATACAAAAATACCACAAGAGCTCACTCACATGTGGAATCTAAAAAAGTTGATCTCATAGAAGTTGAGAGTGGAGTAATGGTTACAGAGGCTGGAGAGAGTAGGGGTGCGGAGAGATTGGTTAAGGGGTACCACACTGCAGGTAGATGGGAGGAGCAGTTGTGGTGCTCCCTGGAATGGAGGTGGATATAACTAACAATAGTACATTGTATTGCTCTAGTTATCACAGAGGGTTTTACATAAACTCACCCTAAGAAAACAATTAAAGTTTAAGGTGATGGATATGCTGTGTTGTCTGAGTTTATCATTACCAAATGTATATATGAATCAAAACATCACAGTACAAATATTATGTGCCAATCAAACATTAATTTTAAACTTTCTAAATTAAAAAAAAATGAGGCATTAAAGTTCCCACCCAATGTGACTGGTATCCCTATGCAAAGGGAAGCATGGACACGGACACAGAGGGAAGACACTGGGAAAGTGCCCAAAGAGACACCACATGAAGGAGGCGGTGGCAGCATCTCACCTGCAGGTCAGAGCCGTCCCATGGTCCTCCTTGCCCCCAGTGCACTGCTGTGTGGAGTTGAGCCACCTCCCACCTGGGCTTGAGTCTGACCCAGGCCCTGCCCATCTGCTGCTCCCACCCTGCCATCCATCCTTGTATTTTAAAATTTTATTTTAAATATTTAATCTTGTTTTGAAAGCCTGTATCATTTTAAGTTCTTTTTTCTTATTTCTATTCTCTTTAAAATAAAAAATATTTCATTGAAAAAGATTACATTTTATGTATTATATGGGCAATGTGATTATTTGATGTGGGTATACATCGTGCACTAATACCATAGCCAAATTAATGAAGACATTTATTATACCACACACTGACCTTTTGTGTACGGGGGAAAATGAAGATCCTTAAAATCTCTTTTCTCAAATTTCAAGCAAATAATACAGTGTCCTTAACTGTAGTTACCATGCTGATCCCTTTATTTTTAACGAGGATGATGAGAAAAAATTGTTAACTGGTGAACGGAAACACACGTCCACTAGGTCATAGGTACGGGCTGATTTTAATCAAGCCATACTTTATTTCCCTTCCTTCCATCATGTTACTATATAGAATGATCACAATGTTAATTGATGGTTATTAACTCTTTACCCACGGTTTTATTTGCTTCTTCTGAGGCACTGTACAGGTGCTGTCCATACCACTGGATCCTCTGGAGAGTTTTATAGATTTTTCACTGCCTCCCCAAAGGCCTTGTTTTGCCCAATAGTTTAACTCAGTCAATTATTACAACTTCAAGGGATAGTGCAGTGGAACATATTAATAAATCAGTACCACATCAACCTTTTCTGGATAATAATAAATAGACTACTTACTAACTCACTGATAGAAAACAACTGGGAAACATTACAGTCTTGGAGAGAGAGAGCGTAGAAAAGGGAGGCCGTGGAGGAAGTGATATATTTTCATCCCTGGGATGTCCACATGGAAAGTCCTTAGTCTTGCAAATTGACAGTAAGCACGCAAATGGTGTATCCCGTTGCCTAGACCTTGATATTACCCAGAGCAGCCCTTTCACAGAGCAAGTGTTAAAATGGAGGAGAATATCACTCTTCGAAGCTCTGATCATTGTCTCTCATCACGTTCTGAGGAATGCACATTTGACCAAAATTGATTCAAGACATTTGCCACATATGATAGATTTTAGAATAATTCTAAGGGACAAATTATTCTGTAAACCAATAAACCATATGCAAGGTTTTTATTTCAAAGATTTAGGAAGATTTAGTAAAGATTTAGGAAGCATGAAAAGGTGTAAGAAGAAAAATACTGTACATATTTTTAAGTGATACCAAATGAAATTAACAATAGAAAATTATTTGTCAAATGAGGAATATAATATGACCACACATGGTCTCACATTCTGCATGTGAGGCTGAATAATGCCCAATCATTCAGAGCATGTTACCATAAATATATATATATGCTAATGTAATAAATCCCTGTTACTTTTATTCATATTATAATTTCATTCGTGCTTACTGTGAAATAGATCATATATACATTTAGAAAATATTACTATTATCTTTCAAAATAATGTATGTATTCCATTATATGAGTATATTTTGTCAGTTCTAGAATATAATTCTATTATTGTTAGACAGTTTTCTTTCTGCTTTTACTTTGTACAAAGTTAATACTATAAAGTTTATTTATTTTTTTTTTTTTTTTATTTTAAGGATAAAAGGAGGGAAACATTAACAGACATA